AATTCACAGCAATTTTGAGTCTTATAATAACTTGGAAAATTAACTAAAAAAGTTATTAAAAAATCGAGATTAATTTAAAATATATGTTTTGACTAGTTTACCCAGAATGGAACGTCATGGGATGATGGATTAAAAAAGAATTTGAAGTGTGAAAATTGTCAGAAGTGGGATTTGAACCCACGCCCTCTCACGAGGACCAGAACTTGAGTCTGGCGCCTTAGACCACTCGGCCATCCTGACTGAACATTAATGACTCCCTAGAAAACTTATATATTAGCTTCTAACCTTGTTTTCATATTTTAATGTACCAATTAGTACCGGCTGTACCGCCAAAGAGACATCTCAGTATAATTAAAAACTTAAGTATGCATTACACGACTTATTAATTTGAGTGGAAGGAAATTAGTTCTCTTAAATAAAATATCAAATTTGAATCTTATAAATAGAGAAATTGATGTTGGAAGAATTTTCTTTTTTATAAAATCCGATATGACTTGATTCTAAATTAATTGAAATCTAATGTGACTTTCGGATACCAAAAGATTAATATAAAAAAAAAACTTAAGTGGGATTTGGGAATGAGAGGATTATTCTAATTTCAAGGGTTGGATATATTAATAGGCAAGTTTGCCATATAAATTAGTTTTAGAATTCAAATTTTAAGATTCGACCTTAAAAAAAATTAATTTTTTTAAATATATTTGATCGATATAGAGAGTGTTCTTATAATTGCATAAGAACAAATTAAGTTTGAAATATGTAAAAATTAATCTAAAAATATCTTAAACGTGAATATAAAAAAATTATTTCTTATTATATTAACCCATTATCTAACTTAAAAAAAAAAAAATCAATGGAATTGTTCCCAAATCTTCCGACGTCCTTCCCACAGTGTAAATGTAGATGCAAAAAACTATATAGAACAGGAAATTTTATGAGTTTATAAGATATAAATATGCTATCATGTATTATAGAAAATTTTATAACAATATTGTATAAATTTTATAAATCTGACACGTATGTAAATATATAAGTAAATTCTAACTTTGTAGATATAAATCAGAAACATATTAGGCACATGAAATGCCCAAAAGTCACCACCAATGCTCAGGGGATTCTCGTAGAAAGCTTGCAAATCATATGAACAAAATTTACATTTCAAAATTTGGGAGTGTCCTTTGCTGAGTTTTCTAGAGGGATCGATACAATGAATGCATTAAATATAAGTACGATGATAATGATCATTGACCCACATCATACATCATACATATTTCCTTTCTTCCTTCATTTTTTTTTTCTTTCCCTTAATGAAAATGATTTTAATGAAAACAACCATTTGCAATTATTTTGGCCTTGATGGGAAGAATGTCGTTAGAAGAAAGTAAGGGATGATGTGATGCACCACGCCTTAATTCTCCAAAGGGTGTGTCAATAGGTAATAGTATGAGATTTCAAAATTAAAAATGTTTTAAGTTGATTATTGAGTTGGATCTGGATGTAATTTTTTTTCAAAAAAATATTATTTTTTTAATTATATAATCTATTCATAATGGTACCAATCCCACACCATGCAATTTCTTTGAACCATCTTGAACAAAAAGCTTATCCGGCTGTTTTGTTTTTGTCCAAAATCTTAAAGCCAAGTTTTGTTTTTGTCCAAAATCTTAATGCCACCTTTTGTTCTTCACATGCATTTGTAATGTGGATGTTGATGCTCACACAAATTAGAACCAGCTATAACTAGGACAGAATGTGGAAAAATCAGGATGTCATTTTTTTAACTTAGAATCAAGGAAAATCTCACCTATCATGGGTTGAGATTGAACAAAAAAAAAAATGTATTAAGTAAGACGTCATAATTTTTATTTTTATATAATTAAAAACCATCGTCAAAAGAAGTTGGAAATGTAATCAAACACAAAATATTTGGGCCCCCCGCATTTAAAGAAAGCCCAATACTATTTTTAGATGAGTAGGTAAATGTGAGGTCCACGATCAATTGATCATGATGGACCGGACTATGAATTTGCTCCCCTTAAAAAACACAAACAATAAATTTTTTCTTTTTTTGTTGATGTTAACAATAAATAATTAATATCTAGCGAATTAACAATAATAATTCATTAAATAAATAAATAAATAGATCACACGTTAAGATCTCGTAATACACATGTCACACAACTTTAATTCCATGACACTCTTGTACTTTGGCATGAAAACCGGCAATGAAATAGTCTTATTTATAAAAAGTTTCTGAAATGATATGATATTTTATATTTATAATTTTATACCATTTAAATTATATAATATTATTTTATTTGACTAAAGCAGATGGAGAAAATAAAAAAATGGTGAGTGGTGAACATGGGAACCCACACTCAAAATTGTTATAGCCTACAATTTTTTTAATATTTCCTGAAAAACATTAAAGAGGTGACTGTTTCAGAGTTTTGAAAATAGTACATAGCTTTTAATTCCAATTGAATTGATTAAATATTTTAAATTA